TAGCAAGAATCGCAAAGTAGGGGCAGCAATTCGAAGCGATCCAGTTATGTGCTCTCTGCGAGCTCATTCAATGCATTTCACACATCAAGAGTGATGGCACGGAAACTGGAAATTGAAAAATACATGGGGAAAGTCGGTGTTGGCGAGATCACAGGGTGACAGTATAAAAGGAAACGGTGTTGAGGTCGCGGTGGAATTAAAATATCAGATGTCGTATAACAGCGAGACGAGTGGTTGAGGAAATGGGGCATTCCAGTAATTGGTAATAGACTGCACACTTTCGACGTGAAAATGGAGTCTTCACGATACCTCAGTTCGTGACTACCACAATTACAATCGGAAGTGTTCAGGAGTGAAGACAATGAAGGATTTCGCCTCCCAGATAAGAAGTCAAAACTTACAACACCACCCACACTTGTCTTCCTTGGTGAAATTGTGACCTGAATAGAGAGAAGTAGTTGCAGGAAATATTTGTCAGAAGTAATGTCATAGAGTGACATTAGGTTGCAGGAAGCTCATTTTCCAGTCCAAGGGAATAGGCGTATGAGGATGGACTTGTCGAGGAATTACGGAATTCTCTTGCAACCCTGTATTCGCGCCCCATTACGGGATACGCGCGCGACACGCGTTGAGCGACCCCTTGTCTTTATAGATGCGGCCGTCACAGACACGAAGAAGGTGTGGATAATACTTCTCGTGTTCGATAGCTGCGCTGAACGCCGAGGAAAAGAGAGTTCCGGATCTGGCTCTAGCTCTGGATGTGATTCACTAGAACAAAAAGCGGCTTTTTCGCATTTCGCAACGCGAATCGTTTTCCGCTGCGGGAACCTCAGGTCCACCGCTGTCAGATTAAAGGGTAGCTAAACCTCTAACCTGAGTGTGTAGCGGTGGTTTTCATGTTTCTATGTAGTACAATAGACTGGGACTATATACACTTTATTACTTATAATTACATAAGAGGGAAGTAGGGTATACAGGTAAGGAGGTAGTCGAAGCCGAAGACAGACGAGGTGAGCTCGGCCACGGCCCGACGAACCCGCCGACTGCCGGCTGGCAGCAGCTTAAGTAGTCTCCGCCGTGGTTGCGAAATGCTGGATGGCAGGCGCATGTGATTGATAGTCCTTGCATGGAGGCGAGGACACGACATCTCCATTTCCTACAGCAAGCTCGTCCTCGAGCTTGAAGTGTTCGTCAAATCGTTTGGTAGAGGTCCTTCGTGAAGAAATACTGTAGAACACAGATCGGTTATGATGATGACGTGGTAAGTTAAGTGGGGATGCTGGTGAGGTCGGAGTGCCATAACATATGACCGCGTCCTTCGCTCATTACAGCGC